GTGTTCTGCACTAAAAAGGATCTTCACTAAAAAAAGATGCGTCTGTGATGCAATAAAACTACTTCTTTCAACCAGAGAATCTCTCTCAGTGATCCAAGAGTCAAAAAGTACCCGAACAAAAAAAACACACTCAGCAACAGAAAGCCAAGCAGCTGCACAGAGAGCAAACCCTCTGACCATAAGAGGAGGTGAAGCATCAGGACACCAAGTCACACAAACACAGAATTCATAAGAACGAGAGCGTGATGAGGAAATATAGCGTCATAAATCTGTGAAGCACTTAAAGATGGAGGTTAACTTCTATAATAAAGGTAAATGAATGACAGGTTTTCACATCTATGAAGCAGCTTTCTCCTCCACAAACTGCAGCTTCAGAAGATTATGTATTTAAATGAGTTTAAATGATTCACATCTATGAGCAGCAGAAGGTTGGTGAGGGAGGACTATTTAATAAACGGGTGGGAGAGACGTATGTGAAAACGTGGAGGCGAGAACAAAAAAAAAAACACACAAAGAGACTTAAGAAACAGACATCAGAGACAAAGAGGGACGGACGACGGGACGGTGCTGCAAGACGCTTCACCAAAGAAGGAGATGGAGTTTGGAGTCTAACAATACACACACACACACACACACACACACACACACAAAGAGTGTGAAGATGGATGGTGAATCCTGAGAAGACGGAGGCAGCTCAATATCAACACATTACTGAGAAGTGAGAGAGAGAATTAACAGAACGATAGAAAGTTATTCAGAAGATGTCAGAAGCGTGTCTCCGTGGTGTGTTTATGTCTTTAGAAACAGTTTAAGCTATCAACAGATATCACCATGAAACTTCAACAGTTCATTACTGACATTAAGACATTTTTTGTTTTACAGGTTTTCTAAATTGTATGTTTAAATATGCAAATGAGGTGAATTTATGAGAAATCTACAGACGCAAATAAACAAAGTAGTAAAATATGCTGAATGTGTATTTTGGATGTTTTCCTGACAGTAGTCTGAAAAAAGACATGTTCGGAAAATCTCTAAATTGATCTGTGCAAGAAGAGTGATGTTTTGTTTAGTCTTAATTTAATTGTGGAGAGAAGTTCTTAATTTAAAAGCAGTAATGAAACCACGAGTTAACCAGCTTTTTAGAAAGCTATGGTTGGTAAAATCGGGACTCTCTGGATGCAATTATAATTATGCACAATTAAAACCTTCCCTCTCGTTCACTTCCTGGTCGCGAGGCTCAGGGTCAGAGGTCACTCTATTACAGAGTCCCGGTTGGATGTAAATCCTCTGGGATCTCATCAGCTGTCGAATGCTGAGCTCCCCCGAGGCTCCATTGATCCCATTGATCCCATAGATCCACTGGTTGTCATTAGAGGAGCGCTAACGCATACAGCGGAGTCTGACCAGTGCAGACGTTCTCCTACCGAGGCTTCCAGAAGATGTGTTTGACTTTATTCAGAATCTTTATATCTTCTTGTTGAGATGATTATGAAAAGTGTTATTGACAGGAGCGTCCTATCAAAAACTCTTCAATCTACAGGAACTAAACTAACTCACTTTATGAGTAAGAATATCTCAACTCAAACACAACTACAAGAAGTTTATGGAGATAACATGACAATGTTGTCCATGACAACTCTGGAGAAAAATGTTAAACAAATTGACCAGGAGTTAGGATATTTTATTCATATATTTATTGTGGCAGACTTCACTTTTTTATTGAATAAACTTAATTTATTGACAAAGTTGCGCTCCTAGAACCTTCAGGTGAATTCTCGTGGCGTAACGATACATCGATATGGATCGATATGGATCGATTCAATGATCAATGATCATTGATACAAATCATGCATATATATATACGTATATGGATATGTATCATGGATACAAAGTAAAAACATCGATACACATCAACGTCAAGCATCCACGTTTTCAGTTTCACCGTCTGAACCGCAGCTAACTGAGGCCCTCCAGCCATCACAGTTAATAAGGTTTAAATAAGATGTTTACCCGCTGGTTTGTGCAGGGTTGGTATTGTATTTACAACGGTAATACTATAGTATTTACAAGTGCAGCAGTGGTGGAGTGAGACCTCGGTATTATTAGCATCAACCTTTACAGGCATGCTGCACTCGGTGAGGGTGAAGAGAGAGTTCATCTCAGCAAAGAAACACAGATGGAAGAGGAGATGGAGGGGAGTGGAGGACAGACGAGGGAGGTGGAGGAATGACAAACGCTGTGAGGAAAGGACAGGAGCAACAAATAAAATCAGACAGAAGAAGTGGAGCGGGAGCCGTGAAGCCCGGCAACTGGGGACCAGAAAAGGCCCTCAGCAGAAAGAAGAAGTAAGAGGGTCCTCCAAAACTTTACGAAGAGCTGAATGCACTCAAGTGTTCCAATTTAACTCCATTCACGACTGTGTGAATGTTAAATCAGTGGCCGTCTGCCAATCTCCAGCTCTGACACAAATAAATAAATAAATAAATAATCGGGTCAAACAGACGGAGCTGTTCATGTATGTCCGGGGAAATACACAAGCAAACATCAGAGGAGGAAGTGCTTGAGGGGGGCTTCATTATGAGCGTCTGATCCTCGAGTCCAACAGCAGAGGGGTTTGAGGAGAAGCTGGAAATGTTTCGGGGGAAATAAACCTATGAAAGAAGAGTAAGTATGAGGTTGCAAAAAGAAGTCTGGTTGTATAGAAGTCTATGAGAAAATGACTCTACTTCTCTCTTG